GATAAGCACTTCACACACACCCACTGCAAACATGGAGGCAGCCTTTATTGGCAATCACAGCAGTGTAACACACACACACGGCCAAACTCACGCACTGATTAACCCGGGGGCTTTCTGCCGCCTTTATCTGCTGCCAAACACCTTTGCTGTCCCTCTGATTTTCAATAAAAATTAAAATTGGGCGCAGCGAGACTTTGAGGCAGGGCTAGCCGTGTGTTTGCCACACCTCGCAGAAAGAATGTTAACACAAACAGCAAAGGGCTTATTTTAGAGCACATGACCCGCAGCGCCACACGTTTTAATGTCCCCATGGTAACGGATGGGTTTTCTCGCCGTGCCGCTCGAAAGTCTGTAGCAGGTGTGGTACGCGCACAAATTTGTGTGTGTTCACCTCACGCTTTCAGACAGGGAGGGGCACGCACAATTGCTCTTTTTTTTTGCTCTCCTCCTTTTTAGTTTTCCTCTCCGAACCGGCGTCGACACACAAATACAGCGAGAGCACACACTCACACAGCCCAAGGAGCAGACACAGCTAGGATTTAATAGTGTTGTGCTGATCCTTGCTCATGTGAAAATCTCTGCTCAGTCTCCCCTCCTCCCTCTCATGTATTTTTACACCCAGCATTGATCCCCTCACTGTGTGCAGGGCTACCTGGCTGGAGGGGAGAAGCACGGGCGCTCCCTTCCACTGGGCAGAAGTAACATTGGGGTGGGGGGGGGGCAGTAAAAGGTGGGTGGTGTTATATGTAGCCACTTGGGTCACAGATAAACAGTACGACACATTTTGGGGGTAAGGGTGATTTTTAATTTATGGTATTAWGGATTAATTGTCTCTACTTTTTCCTCTGGTGCAGATCACAGTGAGCCACAGCAYGGGAAAGCAAGCAGCTAACTTCTTATTTCCTCTCTCCCTTTTMCTCCTCATCTCCTCTMTCTGCAGTCTTGTTGACTATTATCTCCTCCACAGCTTCTTTTCATATTTCACCTTTTCTTTCCTTGTTTTTCTGCATTTTTCTCTTTGGCTTTTTTAGTGTTCACTCTGAGGTTCTAAATCTTCACTTAACATCATTTTACAATCATAATTTTCCTCAGTATTTATCATTCCAATTTCAATCATTCTTTTATTTCTATTTCTTCTACTGTCTCTGTTGATTTCTATTACAGGTGGAGCAAAGAAACCATTCAGGGGTTTTCAAGCAGCTGTCAGTCTCTGTCCTTAATCTGCTCAGTGGTTCTGTGCAAGTGTTTTCTGCAGTTTCTGCTCACTTTTATTGGACATCATTCATGGTAAAGTTGGCCGTCTTTGTTAGCTTGGTTGCWTCGTATGATAGCTGGGTGYTGTAGCTAGATGTTTTATCTTGTAYTGCTTATTCGAAGTGAGGRKAGCATTAGTTAAMTACATATGTTTCTGTCCTCGCATGCATCTTAACATTGCCTTTTYCTTGCTGAATACCAAAGGGAGGTTGTTGTTTTTCTATCAAGCAATCAAAGGGATGCACGGCTAGCTGCTGACTTGCATTTTTCCTCTCTGAATTTGAATATAAGTCTGGTGATTGCAAATGAGCAAATTAGTGACTAAAAACGTTCAGATCCTGACCTGTCTCTGATAAAAAGGTTCTTCCTGTCTGAAACAAGCAAAAAATAAATAAAAAAGGCTAATATCTCCTATGTCACAGCCCCATCCRTCACATGCAAACAGGTGTAAGAGCGAATGCATGCAGCTCACACTGTTGGGTGATCTTTCTATTTGTATTCTCCTGACACTAAGTACGACCTGACTCATTAAGACTCTAAGCTGAAACTGTTCATCCCAAAACCTAGTCACCATCGCGCCGCACGCCGCTCAACTCGGCCACTTTTAATTACCAGGAGAGGGAGGTGTGCCGTTCTCTTCAGTTCTGCCTCAGCAGAGATTTGTCAAGATTAATTGAATTTGCTGCTGCTAATCGCTCTGGTAATGCCCCATCGTTCACGTCTGGCTGGGAATGCTGGGCACTTGGGTACCATCCAAGTCGTGTTTTTACTTATTTATTTTATTTTTTGTTAGTTGTCTCAACAAAAGAGGGAACAAAAGAGGAACGGTACGTAAAGACTGTGTGTCACAGCAGCTGAGATGGCGTGTAGCTAAGTTGATGGCTGCATGTGATTTTGCATTTGACAGGGGGCCTCTACATGAGTGGCGCTTGTGTGACACAGGCGCCATGTTGCCAGTCACCTGAAACGAGAAGGTGACAGCAACAACAGCTCTGTCACACATATACACACATTTCTGCTGGCTGAGTGCAAACACAAGTCTGGAACATGTGTGTGCGCTGCTGTGTGCAAGATCGCCTTGGCAAAATACAACATCCACCKACAAGTCAAATCATATCTCATTGAGCTAAAAAGCCCTGAGGGGGCCCCCCTGCCACGTAGCATTGTTTTTGCCATTTGGAACAGAGCAAGACAAAATGGCTCAACTGAACTCTCATTTCACACTGTCATATCCTGCTGTAGCCTGCTGGATTCCATTAAGACATCACAGATCCGTGAACACAACTGCAGCATGTGTTTACTGCAGTGAAAATCCCACACTGCAGTCTTAACTCAGATGTTTGCCAAGTAAATAGTAAACCTTACTGATGAGAGAACTATACCTGGTCCTCCTCCCTCTCCAGGACAGCGTGCTTGATCATTATCGATCCCTGGAGTTCTCCTTTTGGGTCGATCCATATGAGCCATGTCAAGGCCTTTAGACTCAGTGTTGCTTCTCTGCTTTTTTTTATCAGCTGAGATTTATTGCATTAATTTGCACATCCCCTGCAGTAGAGAGGAATAACTTCAGACTCTTTTTCATTCATTCATATTCTACTACCCCCTCCTCCCCCAAACCTATTTCACTTAAAACAATGGGTTCTCCCACACTAAATGTATTCAGCACTCCCTATTCATTACACGACATCAGTTTTTGGACACAAAGCTGCTGAAAATGATAGTTGACTTGTCGGGGAGAGTTTGTCAGTAGTAGGGATAATGGCATTGTAATATGACAAGTTTTCAGGGGAGGAGAGGCAGCACTTTGATGTAGCAGAAAATGAAGTTCTATTAATATGTATAGGGACACCATTAGGCGTGGRGCTCATAAATGTTTGCTGAGTGAGAGACAGGAAACTTTACTCAGGCCTTGGAAAGGGATGACTCTTTCTTTTCCCTGAGAAAAGCAAAGGTAGACGATGATATTGGAGAGAAGTGAAGAAGTCGGGTAAAAGGCGAAGTTGTCTTACTGTGCTCCAACAGTATGTGTGTGTTTGATGGTGTGTGTTTGTAGCCGTATTCATTACTGTGGGAGTAATTGATAGGGTTGTAGAGAGCACTGAGCAGAGTGATTAACGGCAGAGAGGGCAACGGCTTATTTCTCAATAGAGCCCTGAAAGAGAAATGCTAAATGAATCAGACAAACAACCAAGGTGGCCTTAATCTAACCTTCAGCGCACTGTGACAACCATTTGATGAGTTTCTGTCTCTTCTTTCTGTCTGTTGGTATGTGTGTGCGTTTGTGTGTTTGTGTGCATGTTTGAAGGAATGTGCAATGACACTGTGTATTTTTTTTTGCTCTGCACAGTCTTTTTCAGGACAACCAAGAATAGAAGAAATGGAGTCAACCGAAGTCTCCCAACCTGCTCTTATTTTTTCTCTCTCTCTGCAGTTTTGAAGAAGTTTAATTCCTCTGTCTTTGTCTATATGCCTCTGCAGTGCATCACACACCATTTCCCCATCCTTTCAGACAAAAACACACTCGGTTGAGCATTTATAAAATGGCATTAAGCTTTCTATTTTTTAGGGACTCGTTTTTGCATGACACGGAGAAGCTCTGCAGTCAGCAGTTTCYCTGAACTGCAGAAATCCAGTGTTTGAGCTCAGCTGAATTCTGGTGTCCCATGGACTCCCTGTTCCCCTCCACAGCTGGTTCACTGTGGATGAAASCTCTGGATGCCAGTCCTAGCCCCGTGGTCAGTCTTTCCCTCCCCTAACCTTGGAGTTAATAACTGCACTCACAGTTGGTGGTGGGGAAGCACAACTCTTCGTTTTTGCCCCAGCTTCACAGGATTTGTACTTATGCATCCCTGAAGGCTGAAATTGGCTCACGTTCTCCTGGTCTTCATGGAGGTTGTTTGTTCAGTTTGATCTTGGCATGAGATGATAAATGATCTGTGTGGCTGCAGATACTGATCCTGTCTTTGCCAGGGTGTAAGGCCAACCCCACTCCCCCCCACACCACACCGCTCAGCCCACTGCTGCTAACTGTCTTTTTTCATTTTTTTAGTCACACTTTTTTTCCTTTTGCTTTACTATTTGTCTCTGTTAATCCCTCTCTCTTCCTTTCTCTCACTTTTTTCCGTATTGACGGGCAGCCCTAAGAGGTGTTGTGACAGTTTTGCAGGGATCCCTGGAGACATCAGACTTCCTCTGACATGTACACCACAATCACACTCACAGTGGGGATCCAACAGYCTCGTGCCTTTTGACAAGYCTCTTCTTGAGAACCATGGAGATCCACTCGCACACCACTCGTGCCTCAGTAAATACAGAGGACAGGAGAGTGCCAGTGCTGTGATGTGAAAGGCGGAGCTGAGATCCTTGCGTGTGCACCTTGTCGTCTCCAGCTGTTCGCAGAACTCCCCAGACGATGCGACACAAGCAACCTTAGAAATCGTCGTGGATGTCGAGGGACTCGCATTTTACCTGTTTGTGCCAGCTGAGGCCTCGCTGTGATACARCACACCTCACCTATTGATTTGTGTGTGATGAGCCTGCTGTAGACAATTCTCTTACCCCTCTTTTGTCTCTGCCCTCTTTCTCCCCCCCTCCTTTCCTCCTCGGTGTATTTCTTGGTCTCTTTCTGTGTTTTTGAGGCGTTCTACTCTGTCAGGCCCTCCCTTTCCCCTGTTGTTTGTTCTCTTTTTCTTTGATGAGCCGGTCTCGGCCAGGAAAGCCAGCAGCTCCCCATTGATTGGATGGTCRATGAGTAGAGTGTTTTTGCCAGCTTTCTATAGCGGGCGTCCGGGCTCTGTAAACTGAGAAAAGCCGAAAAGAACCGCTTTCTTTGGATCAAGGGACTGCTCTAATGTCAACACAGTCTGTGCGTGGAGATGAAGGGAGCGAACAGGATTCAGTCAACTCTCCAAAAAAACAACTGGTCATGGATAGACGTATTCATCACTAMCTCTCCATCTGTCATTCTTCCATTTCTTTCCCTGTTTTCTTACTACTTGTTTTCCTTTACAGCTGAAATTAAAACCAGCGTCACGGTGCTCCTTGTTGGTTTTTCCTCTTTYCCAGGTTCTTGGAGCTGCATTTTGGGCATGAGGGGAAAAGTGGGAGGGAAACAGGGAGGGATGTGGTGATAAGATGGGTGGAAGTGTGGCTGTGAGAGTGTGGATTGTGTTGTTGGGGATTATTGATAAATCTGAAAGGAAATGGAAATGGATTTTAACCCAGGTCAGGCCATTCTGCCCTTCTCATTTTCCATTCGAGCCGTACTTTGTGAGTAGCCAACCATAACACAGACAGAGAACTTGCTTAAAAAAAGAACAAAAGAAAGAGGAAGGACAGCGTTTTATTTAATCTCAATTTTCTCTTTTTTTTCCTGCACCTGTTTTTCCTTTCATTCTCTATACTTTCCCTCTCCTTTTCTTACTGTCTCTCTCTGTTATCTCACTGTCTCCTTCTTTCTCCTTTTTCCGATGCTTGAATAGAAGTGGATCAAAAAGGTAAAGTCCACAATAAACATAACAACCATAGCTCGCCCCTTCCTCCTCCTACCTCTTTTTCCTTCTCCCTTGTTTCCCGTTTCTCCCCCCATTTTCCCTCCTAACCCAGCACCCTGTGTAGTGCTCATGTTTGATGTCGATATCCCTTCCTTTTCTTTCTCAATCTCTAATTGCCTCCTTTTCCTTTCTATTTCTACCTGTCTTTGACGTGTAACCAAAACTCTAAAATCCCTCTAGAGTTCCTCCTTGGTTCTGATGACACCAGCTTCACCTACACTCTCTCACTTTCACTTTCACTTTCACATTCTCTCTCTCTCTCACTCTCTCTCTCACTCACTTTCTCACACACACACACACACGCACACACACACATGCTCAAACACACGCACACAAACTTATACAGACCCACTATAAGCATTGGGTCATTCCAGTATCTACGAGAGATAAACAAGAAATTAACCTAATTTCTTTCTTTCACAAAGAAGCACAAAGTACACACACAATATAACTTTACATCATTTTATGGACAGCAAATCCAGAGGCGGAGCCAAAGGGGTGGCTGGGGTGGCATGTGCCACCTCCTGGCGCCTGATTGGGCACCACAGGTGCCACTCCAAAAAAATTGACAAGTGGGTGTGGAACTTGGATTTTGATTTTGTTAAACAGTGTTCTCTTTTTTATATATATATAAATAGTGTTCTCTGATAGCACTGTACTATATACATTTTCAGCTGTGTATGTTAAAAATGACTGAATAATATCCCTTTGTAAAATTAGCATTATTGGTTAGCTTAGTTTGGGATTAGCATTAGCAGTCTGCATATGACCATTTGTAGCTACTCCACAACAAATTTAATCCCAATAAGTCAAAAAAATGGTTGAATTAGAGCCTTTAAAATTTAGCAGAGGTGGCCTTCTTGTATTAGTGATTATCATTTAGAATTTGGTAAAGATTGCTTTTGGGCTCTTCTTTACAAAACTTCAGCTTAGTATTTGTCTGAAATTGGCAGAATAATAAATTGTGTAAATTGTGACTAGCATTCATTTAAYTTATAGCTATAATCAAACAAAATTGTCATTAAACAGGTAAATTAAAGCCARTTCAAATTAGCTGTGGTGACCATCTTGAATTTTCAAATCCAGAGTGATTTTCTTTATTTGTATTTGCCCTGCTAAAAAACACCTCGGACACCCCTGTGCCACCCCTTGCAAAAAGTTTAGCCCCGCCTCTGAGCAAATCTGTCTTTTTTTAAAAATTCATTCTTTAAATCATTTTTTGTCTTAACAGTTTCTTCACACACTTTACAACATGTATATTTCATTATTCATATTTCATAAACACTTTTTATTCCAGTATTTTTCCACTCATTTTGCTACTCTGATGTATCTGTTCCTGCAGTTTAAAAAAAATCATCTTCTCCCATCTCATTATTCAACTGCTCTTATTTCTTCATATTTTATCTCTGTCTCTTTTTTATTTATTTTTTTCCAGGACCAACATTRGGTCTGATATTTTTCTCAAAGAAAAATCAAGTGTTGAGATAATCTATAATTGGGCCAAGTTGTTTTCAGATCATTAACTGTATCCCATTTCCAGGTACTTCAGTGCTCTTCTCTCATCTGTCCGTGTTCATGTTTTTTTTCCAGTTCATAACAGTTTTGTTTATTACCTCTCGTTTATTGCCCTTCTATTTACTGCATATTTTTTCATGTTTGATTTCTCATCTTCCCTTCAATTTGGTCTGTCTCCTGACTTTCACTGATTAGTTTATCTCTCAGGTAACATCTGGCCATAACAAAAGCCACAGGCTCTTTCGAGCAGGTCTTACACCTCTCTTTCTGCTGCTTTCTCTATGCTTCTCTACCTCAGTCACCTTTCTATCTTATTTATTGCAAATGCATACATTCCCACTTCTCCCTTCCCAAACCTCTCACACCTTAATACCTTGTCTACATCAGTCCATCTTATCTGGTTCAGTTTGTGTTAAAGAAGAGGGGCATGGATGAGGGAGGAAGGTGTATCCTCTGTAGGGAGCCCTTCAGCTCCTTGTAATGGCTTTTCTGATGCTGCCTGAGCCTTGCCACAAGCACTTTTAAAGAGTCCCAATCAGCTCGGCCATGCCTCAATCATAAGTATCTCAAAGAGCAAAGATAGACTTGACCGTATTCAAGGTCGTAACAAAAGTAGCTGCCATCATTTCCAACCTTCCAACAAGGGTGAACTCCCCCCCCCCCCCCCCTCTCAGGACCCCACCTTCTCAACCTTTTCTGAGCCCCTTTATTCACATATGTCTCACTCTTGGCTGTTCCCCTGCCTGGCACCATGGCTGGATCCATTTGTTGGAGGAATTAATTCTCATTGAGGCCTCCATTAACTGGTTTTTGGACTCCATTGTCTTTTATCTTTGTGTTCGTTGCTTTCACTAACATGGATCATTGTCTCCCATTCTTCTCCAAAGGCAGGAGGCCATTTTAGCTCACTGCTTGTAGTGGAATAGAAAGCTCCAAAACCCACTTCTTGCTTTCACCTCTCACTAAACTCGTATTTAGTCACCATGCTTCTTCCCACTAACACTGTAAGGAAGACACTTTCCTTTGTCTGCACCCCAACTTCTGTTTACCTCCATCCATCCTTCCACTGGTGTTTCAAATGTTCCCTCTTGCTGTATGTGGCTGAACTAACAGTCTTAAGGTTTGTTTTTCCCTTGTTTGTGAAATTAATCTTCTCTAACTGATCAGCGGATTGTCAGGTTGGGTTTGGGATTGTAACGGTGATGATGATGTGGTGATGATGTCACAGTTCAAGGACTTTCCATCACTCTGTCAACCTACCTACTGTCAGACTAAATTAGGACTATGCTAGAAACAGCTGCCTCTTCCATCTCATCACTTCCATGTCCCTTTTCTCACTCTTTTTTTGCTGACAGTCTACCAGTGTTCAGTACCAAAATCATTCCAATATTCCTTTTATCAATGCTGACAAGACCAAAAAAGTGTTTTTTTCTTACCTCCAGTTTGTTTCTAAAGCAGAAGAGGCAAGAAAGAAATTTAATATTAGACAAGTGTGTACAATCACAGCATTCTGATGGAGGGTGGGATCAGAGAGCATACAAGGACAGAGCCATGCCCCACGTTAAGGGCTTTCTATTTGGAAAAGTGAGTGGTAATAAATGAGCAAGTGGTGCATTGTGTGACAGGAAAATTCAACGGATGGCCGTGAATGGAAAAAGAGAGGAAAAGCAGTTGCTATAGAGACGAGGAGTCAGGCAGCATCCCCTCATTAGGAATGACCCACCACACACAAGCACCGTCATGTGACCGAGGCAGTGCAGGGACCCTGTTTTTAGTGGCACGGGGAGATAGGAAARAGTGCAGCGATGTACTGCACATGTAGAAGTCGCTGCAATGTTGGAGTCAAAGCACAAAGAGGTTAGCGAGGAAAGCATGTGGTTATGAATATAAACGACAGCAGGTTCCAGAGGAATTATGTAGCGACAGTGTCTCTGGGAGATGTGACTCAAAGCAGGAGAGAGCAGGGGAGACACTCAAGAGGGTGACAATCTCAGCTAATATTACAACCACGCAGACATGTTACTCCATCTTTTGCGCCTCACTCAGCCAAAATTGGGTTTAGCCCTCTTGTTGCCTGAATCTTCATCCTGTAGCCTCTACCACCATGTCCCGATCAACTTTCCTGTCACTCAGAGTCAGATTCTCACAGAGGTAGATAACACATTGATTTCAATGGATGCTATTTTCTGCTGATGTCCACTTTTGGCCTCAGTGAAGGGTATTCTCTGGGGTGAATGTTTGGGATGATAAAGGTTCCAGTTTTAAACTTGCTTCTTCCACTGTCTGGGAAGTGTGTACGTGCATGCATTGTCTGAGTATGTGTGTGTGTGTCCTAGAGTGTGTGTCTGTGTATCTTTGTGTTTTATTGTGTTTTTACTCCTAAGACCTGACCCAGTATAGTCTAAGAGGAAGAGGAAACACAATGGGAGGCCTACTTTTCTCTTTTCTTACATCTCTCTCCTTATGACACTATTTGTCACTCCTCAGCAAATTAACTCACTCCTGATTCTGGTTTTACAGGAAATAACCTAATTACTCTCTTTTACTTCACTTCTCTTGCTCCTCTTGTTTGCACACAACTGAACGATCCCACGTCACTTTTCACGCTTTCTTCTATTTTTGCTTCTCTGTCTGGACAGCAAACATACATGCTCACACACACAATCACACAATGGCACACATAATTGTATACTGTAAGATAAACATGCACACACTAATCTGTGAATGAATACACCAGCATTCCATCAGGAGACCCAATGCACACTCATGCGCCCGTTAACTGTTCAGCATGCAGGTTAGCATGCCATGCTCCATCCTGCCTCCTGCTGAATGCATGCTGCACCTGCCAGTAACAGGTGGGTATTCAATTAGAGCAGCATGCTCTCAGCAGTCAGTTGTGTGAGTGCAACATGGCTGTGGACTGGACTGGGCAAGGCGAGGATCTGAAGAATCCTCCAAACCCTGTAGGTAAAAATGACAAAAAAAAAACAAAAAAAACAACAACAACAAAGAAACACCACACAATGCTCAAGAAATCCACTGCCAACCATTGGCAGGGGGTGTTCAGATCATCAAAGTGGAGCATCACCACRATGCTGTCACATCAAACAGGAAAACAGCACGGACTACGGGCAACAACCAAAATGAAATGTCTAAATTTAGCCAAAAGCTGTCAGCRTTCACTTTTACCAGTCGATCACAAATGGCTGCTAGACACTAATGGGAGGTTTTTACTGTCATTTTCAAGAAAATTCTCGAGCTTTCATCACTTTATATTACAGCCTCGTATTGACAAGTAAAAGCTGACCTGTGCCTGGGAAAGGGAATATAGAGATAAATAGTCGATTATTACAGCAGTATTCCTCAGTATGTGTGGTGGTAATTGGCAGACTGGAGCATGATAGCTACAGCCTGTGTTTTAATCCCTGATAAGGTAAGTTTCATTAGTTATCTGGCTAGTTTAGGGTAAAAGAACTGTTGTGTCTGTGCTGCATGATAGCTTCACGGGATAGATCATGGCTCCAAGATTTCCATCCACAGCCAAACAGGAATTAATCTATTTATCTATCTCACGTAATCCCAGATGGCTCTACTGAAACTAACCTGCTCTAGCCAGACTAGGATAATGCTTAATCTCAAGACTTATGCCTAATGCTTAATGCCTAATGCCTAATACCTCATTCATTCTGTGGTCATAATAGCCTCTTGTACTGTAGACTCCACAGCTAAGGTTCGGCTGCTCTGGCGTCCCGCAGCTAAACCCTTCACAGTTACGAAGGAATTACGAGGAGGCGAAAGAATGAAAAAGCCAGGAAGAGCTGGTAAACAGAAAAGCAGCCGGGAATGCTGGGGAGTGCAGGTCAGACTTAATGAAGCCCCTAGGCAGGGTTTTCAGGATGTGAAGCRTAGTCACTTTTTCTGTTTAGTGTGTGAACGTGTGAATAAGTATGTGTCTGTATGTGCTGCTTAGATGCTGTTGATGAGTCCCTTTGTCACCAGATCCACCCAAAGACCAGTTCATTAGAATAAACCAACAGGTGCTGATTATAGAGGAGAGGAAGACAGAAAGGATCTTGGAGGAGGAAGGTCGACAATGACTGTCAGTCTCAGCTGGGCTGCTAGTAACGTTGAGCTGATGAGGCCAAAAGAGTACAGACTGCTGCCAATTTAGGACATGGCTGGAAGGTTAGGTGCAATAATGAAAAGAATCATGTAGCATTGGCGTTGGGGCGCTCAGTTGTGCACAATTTATTGAGAGCAAATTGTTTTGCAGACAACATCAACTATTAGGGCAACGTAAAATATATTTTTTTCAGTCTGGATCTCGCTATGTTTTTACAGACACTTATGACTCGACATCCTCCACCTACACTTAAGTCGGAAACTGTCATTGCTGTCCCTCCAGGAATTCTAATCAGGAGGCTATATATAACAGGTTCTCAAGTGCAAATCCTAGAGTGGCAAAAGCGCAAATTAAACAAGTTAATATGTAATGTAAAAAAGAAAACCAAGCTGCATTTTTTAAATTTGTATGCATAACGATTGTCGCTTAATTGAGTGATTTTAATTAGCCTAATACATTACACCTGTACAAACGCTTGCAAAGGTCAAATAATGTGACTGCATAACTCAACAGTTTAGTTTTTAATTTGATGATTTTCTTCATACTATAGTGCACATGTTGGTTTTATGCTTCTTAATATTTTGGCGTGACAGTAGCTGAAATGTTCTCACCAATTGGAATAAAAAATTCTGATTTACTCGTACTCATCCACATTAATGTGTGATTTTTTTAAAACTATGATACAATTTATCAGGTAGGTGACCATGAGTGTCATTTCCAAAGCCATTGTAGCCACACACTGCTGTACTTTGACTTGAATCCATTTAGCTGTATTGTTGCAAAAGAGCTGAACGCAAGCGTACAACATAAAAGAGGGTTGTCCTTTATGTGTAAAAGAGAATAGGCTAGCATACTTGTTTTTCTGTGTCCTTTATGCTACCTTGAGTTAGAGTGTTCCTGGCTTTGTTTATGGGTCACCTACATGCACAGCCTTTTTCTCTGTTGTTTATTTCACTTTTTACAATTTAAGTAGAGACTGTCATACTTGTATTAGTTGCTTATACACATTTGCATTACTGCTGTTGTTTAAGATACTTAACCATCTAGACATTTTTTGTGCAGATATCAGTCACCTGYGATTGTATTTGTGAACCTCAAGCCTGAATACTTTCAAGCAGACATTTTGATTTGACAATGGAGCATGACAAGCCTTGTGCTTGCGAGGAGTCTTTATTCAGTGTTTGTTTGTGCCTGACTGATTAGATTCCTGTTTGGCTGCCAGTCTCAATCCCTGTTGGACCCTTTAGACAGAACAGGCAGATTCCTAAGAGGCCCAGCAGCACAGATCACCAGCCACTATCAGCAGCAGCATAACAGTGAGTGGAAAGAGAAGGCTGGATTTTTCAGAAGCTTGAGTTTACTTCTGCACCTCTCTGTTGGGATTCTCCTCTCCAACAAGATCCATGCAATATTCAAGACAGTTAGAGCCTGGACAGATCCATCACTCAAACCAGAGCAGTTTGACAGGATGTGCACGAGTGTGGGTCCGTGCACATATGGCTGTGTGCAATCCTCGTGYGAATGGCAACAGTCTGTGTCTGTCTGTGAGTTGGTGTCTGCTGTCTGTGTCCAAATGTCCCTGCAGTGTCTAATTAGTTCAGAGATGCATTCAATCATGAGGTGACCAGCAGGTGTCTGGTTCTTTTGCAACCCCAAGCCCATGAGATGGATAGATAAACTGGCAAAGGAATACATGGGGACTATTCRGCTGTTTTATTCCGTAAGACTTTCAATTTTCCTACTCCCTCGCCCTTATCCCTCTGTTGCTGGGACCCCTGTGATGTCAGGGTGGGGAGGATGCCCACAGTTTTCTTCATAGATAACCTGCCATGTCTGTTGGATCCCTTGGCAGTTACTCTGTCAGACTAAGACACACGGCATCAGACAGCCAATTTACACTAGTCCCTAGTGGTTGACCTCCAGTAAAAAATAGACATTGTCTGTGTATGTGTGTGTCTTTTTGGTGTATGGATTCTGTGTGAGGGATTCCCCTACTTTTTGTGTGCACCTCCCAAGCCGTTTTGCAGCAGGGACCTCTGTTTGTGTCTATATCTGTGCGTGTGGGTGTGCGAAGCAGAGTTAGATTTGCAGAGGAAAGGGAGGCTTAGCCAACCTCACATCTTTACCTCAGGATGATTTTTTTAACGTCTTTGAGGCATTACTCTTGACTGAGAGCCAAATTTGAGTCCTAATAAAACAAGCTCCAGAATTACCGTTGTACCGCCCAGGTGCAGAGCAAAGAAGCAGAAGGCTTTGAAAGAGAAAAAGCACAATCAAATAAAAAGTAGGCCAAGATAAATTAGATTAGYGACTACATCTAAGCTGTGGTAACAGCCTGAAATCTCCTATTTATCATATTCAAACGTTTTCCGAACACAATGCTCAAGTTCTACAAATGAGCTTTTATATGTTCCCTCGTTTTAAATCTGATAATGAACCTCACCTTACTTCCATTTCCCTATACTTTTATTATCATAAAATTCTGCCTCCTTTTCATTTCTAAACTCGCTTTTATCAGTTCAGATCTTTCTCTTCAACCCTCACCACATCTTTCTCCTGTTATATATTATATGGTTTTTGACTTTTTTTCCCCCATTTCCTTTTACTTCCTCCCCCTCCATCTCCATAAAATCTATCATTTTTGCAATGCTTTGTTTTCATTTTTTTGTCTCTGGCTATTTTTTCCCCTCCTGTCTGCTCCAGTATTTGTGTGCCCGGGAACACTGCTGCGGGTGCAGGTGCCCAGCTCTCAGCAGGAGGCAGAGCACCAGGCGGGGGCATGGTGCAAGGACCCTCTGCAGTCTGGGGACCGTCTGTTCGTCATGCCCTGGACCCCCTATCGCACTGACATGCTGTATGAGTATGCTTCCTGGGAAGACTTTAAACAGAACAAAGTCACCACCACCTACAAGTGAGCGCACCTCTCCCTGTCCTGGATGATCAAATGACATCTGCTGCTGTATTGATTAATTGGCTTTTGATGAGGATATGGATAGCAACAACAGAATGGTCCCAGTGTGGTGTCTTCACACTCACTGTGAGATTGTCTTGAAGGAAAATGCCACATAAAGTAGATGAATTGATTAGTTCATCTTTGTCTTTTCTCAACAGGCTGCCTAACAGGGTGGATGGTACAGGGTTTGTTGTGTATGACGGTGCAGTGTTTTACAACAAAGAGCGCACACGAAACATAGTCAAGTACGACCTACGGACACGCATCAAAAGCGGTGAAGCCATTGTCACAAACGCCAACTATCACGACACCTCTCCGTACCGCTGGGGAGGGAAATCGGACATTGACCTGGCTGTGGATGAGAATGGTCTGTGGGTGATTTACGCCACGGAATCCAACAAGGGACGACTGGTRGTCAGCCAGGTGGGAGAACAGTGATGCACAGCGAGGGATGACATATGGGTGCAAATGCTGAAGTAGATGATCTAAATATCTCTTGAGTAGTCAGACAACAGGTCATATGTGAATATGATATGAATGAATGAATAGCCAAGTACTGACATAGCACAAATACTGAGACTAGATTAGATGAAAATTCGTTGGTGAGAAAAAAAAGAGCAGGATAAACATAATAAAGATGTCCAAGTTTTAAATCCAATTATACAAAACTAATTTTCTCCTAAAAAGTAAAATATCCTTTTTTCATTGTTTGTGTCGTTTACGACTTATAATATTGTGATTAGTAACTTTTAAGTATTTTTTGTGTTGTGACTAACACATTTTCACTCCCAAATCATCACATATTGATGCTTGTCCAGGTTCCCTCTGTGTCCAATTTTGACACATCGGGTAAACCTTTTGCGTCAGTTTTTGACGCACCACATAGGATCTTTGGGTTGGGGTCCACGGTAAATATTATGGATCAGGGTTACTGTTTAATTTTAGGTAATGATGTCAGGGATCAGATGTCTACGGCTAACAGAAGTTAAGTTTGGGGTTTGGGACAGTTAGTTGTGCACTTTCGACACTTTTCAAAAATATGACAACAGCTCCTCCTTTGTTCTAATCTCATCAGTTACTGACGCGAGGGGGTTACCTGACGCTTCGAAACCGGACGCAGAGGGAACCTGGACAAATGTCAATTTGTGATGAGTTGGGAGTGAGAACGTGTTGGAATGACTCAGCTGACTGAGTCCTTTCTGTTTACTAAAGTTGGTTAGCTGTAGCAGCCATCTTGAAAAAGTTTTTCCTAAAAGGTGATCATTTGAAGATGTACAACAAATGATTAGTTTCTGTTTCATTAAAATCTGTCATTTGGTTCATGAGATATTTTGCTAACACATCAAACACATGCATTCTCTCAGACAATGTTTTCTTGCCTTTGATTGTCCACCACCAAAACGTAAAAGTATTGCATAGTCTTGCAAAAAAATAATGAAAACAAATAAATATCAGGTTAAAGATTAGGATCTATAATTATAATTCTCAGTCTCTCACGTCTCATTTAACATTTTCTTTTTGTTTGCAGGTCAATCCGTACACGCTGCGCTTCGAAGGCACCTGGGAGACCAGCTTCGACAAGAGGATGGCGTCCAACGCCTTCATGGCCTGCGGGGTGCTGTACGCAGTGCGTTCCGTCTACCAGGATGATGACAGCGAAGCCGGCGGCGACCTGGTGATGTACGCCTACAACACCAACCACGCACGCGAGGAACCCGTCAACATCCCTTTCCCGAACCCGTATCAGTACATCTCCTCTGTGGACTACAACCCTCGAGACAACCAGCTTTATGTGTGGAACAACTACAACGTGCTGCGCTACCCGCTGGAGTTTGGACCACCAGATCCCACCACTGGTAAGGAATGAACAAGAATAAATAGAYTAAAACATGTGAAAAGTAGAAAATGTTTGTCATTTGCACATTTATTTAGCAAAAGCTTCATTGTCCCAAACAATTAAAAGAGAGTTTCGGTTGTAAGCTTATAGGTGGAACTGCGTGGAGCACACATCATTTCTGCAGCCCAGCAGTGTGGATGAACTGATTTAGTCTTATGAAAGCTTGTATAAAGCTTGGATTGGGCATGACAAAGACTGACTGCAGGTTTGATCTGTTAGGATTTTGTAGTTGTGATGTGTTGCTTTTGTCTTCACATTATGTTTTGTGATGGTGACTTCTCTGATACATTTGATAAATTATTTATTCACTACTAATTTGTGATGATGCCTTTTCTCCATTTTCTCCCTCTGCGTCTTCATTTTGCTCTTTGAAAGGCTCTAAAAATGTTTGTTACCCCAACTTCTCTGAAACAAACCTTTGAACACAGCTTCTGATCGACAGTTATTTACTTCCTTTTCTTGCTGCTTTTGAATTTATTTTTTAATCCTCTTCTATGTTGCCTATTCATAGCATTTTCTCTCTCTCTCTCTCTCTCTCTCTCTCTCTCTCTCTCTCTCTCTCTCTCTCTCTCTCTCTCTCTCT